TCAAGGCATGGCCGGCTGTTGAGTCGACCAAATTATCAATTTTAGGCAGAGGGTAACTGTCTTTGGGGCACGCCTTGTTTAAGTCTGTGTAGTCTACACACATTCGCCAGGTGCCATTCGGCTTTTTAACAAGTACCACATTTGCAACCCAGTCTGGGAAGTAACATTGCAGAATGAACCCTGCATCAAGTAATTTTTTAACTTCGGCGGCTGCCGCCTGACTTCTTTCTTCGCCATGGTTCCGCTTCTTTTGCCGTACCGGCTTCTTTTTCGGATCCACAGCGAGTTTATGTACTGCCAGATCAGGACTAATGCCTGGCATTTCATGGACTTCAAATGCAAAGATGTCCTTGTATTCTTTCAATAAGTTGTGAAAGTCGTCACCAAGGTTTCTCAGAGCAGTCGTCCCAACTTTGACTGTTCGGTCAGGACGTGAGTCGTCTAAGATCAAGTCCGCATGCTCACCAGCCGGCTGAGGGCGGAACTCATCCGGCCGCTCCTCTGCCAATGATTGCTATTTTCTTGCTTTTCTTGCGGACTCTGTCTGGGACGCCTTTCTCTTTTTGTCGCCTGTTTCTTGAACAGGCGCACTCTCCTTGACATTGTCAAGGTCTGTTTTTTCTCCGCTTGACCCAGTGGCCATAACAGTGGGCTTGACATCCGAGAGATAGCACTCTCGGGCCATCCTCTGATCTCCCCTTAGGGAGCCGACTGTTCCATTATCCCTCTCAAACTTAAGCAGCATAAGAGACGGGATTATAACAGCCTTGGAATTATTCAGGGTTGGTCGACCCAGAATCATGTTGTAGGCCGAGAGTTCCTCTACTACTAGGAACCGGACTACCATGTGTCGTCCTTCCCCTTTTTCGCCCAGGCGAATGGGTAAATCTACTCGTCCCAGTGGGTGGACGACTCCTCCTCCAAACCCTATTAAAGGGTGGGAGGCCGGATGTATGCAGTCCGTCTGATATTTCAGTTTTGACAGACATTTGCTGCTGATGAGATCTGAGGAGCTCCCGGTATCTATGAGGATTCGGCCAACTCTCTGGTTGGCCACTTTACATTCAATAACGAGAGGGTCGTCATGCGGCCCCCTTACCCCTCCTAGATCCTCTTCAGTGATGACAATCTCAGGAAATGTATATTTGGACGGTCGTTCTTGGTGAACGGAATTTACATCTAACCGCCTTATATTATCTTTGTTGCCCCTAATAGTGGGGCCGCCTCCTGAGAAGCCGCCTGCAATGGTGTAGACGACTGCATCATCTGTATCGGAACTGTCGGCCTGTTGATTCTTTTTGGCCGACTGCTTTTTTGAGGAAGTGTTCCCCGTAGATTTCTTGACATAAGTGTCAAGATCACCTTGCTCAGCCAAGCGGTCTAGGTACCGCATGAGACTGATGCAGTCATTGGTGTGATGACCAACGTCATCATGATAAGCACAGATTTTGTCTTGGTTCCGGTTGTTTGCAGAACCCTTCATGGGGACCGGCTTCTCAATTGAGAACCGTCCCTTTATTTCTTTTAGGATAAACTGGTTATCCTTGTTAAACACATACTTTGGGGAGTATGGTTTGAATTCTTTTTTCTTTTTCTGGGCCGGCTGTTTAGAGGAATCAGCCGCCCAGACCTCTTTTCTTTTCTCATCTTTGTTAGACGACTGTTTCTGTCGTCCTTCTCTTTTGTCGAACCTTTTCCCATCCGACTGTTTTATTGTACACAGATCAGTCGCCTGTATATAGGCTTCTGCTTCAATCAAGGCCTCTTGAAGAGTCGCCACCCTTTTTCGAACTAAATCAAATTTGAAGGTAGACCCGTCTTTGAGACCTCTAAAAAAGTCAGTATAAGCTACCTCATCCGGTAACCCTTGAATCTGTATTCTCATCAGGTTGAACCGCCTGATGTAAGAACGAAGCCCCTCCTTCTCGCCCTGCTGAATTGTTCCCAAATCAAGGGTCGTTTTCTTCGCAGGGATGTTCATGGCGAAGTTGGAGGCAAATAAGTAAGCAAGCGTCCTGAAGCTGTTTACACAACCAGTCGGCAGGTTGCCGAACCATTGCTGTGCGATTCCCTTGAGAGTCGCTGGGAAACACTTGCACCAAGTGGGATCATCCAACCCTTGAAGGTACATCAGGTTGGTGAATGCCATCAGATGGTCTTCTGGGTTAGTAGTGCCGTCATAGGCGCCTACTAGTACATTTTTTACTTTGGCCGGCTGAGCGGCTTCAGTAATTTCCTTGGAGAAGGCCGACGGCTGTTCACCAAGTCTAAGCAACCGTAGCTGCCAGTCCATAGGTTGGACGTTTTTTGCTGCAGGTCCACCAAATGGAGGTGGCTGCATAAAATACTGTTGTTGCGGCACAAATGGTAAGTTTGGTACCGCCTGGGCACTATGAAAGCCGGACTGACGGGAGGTGCCGCCTGACTGACTCTCATGGTACGACTGAGTATGCCTCATCGAGGCATTTCGCAAACTATCTTGAAAATTTGAAGTAGAATCCGACTCTGACAATCGGTCACTCTTCTTCTGCTCTAGCAGTAGCCGAGCATCTGTGAACGTTTGCTTTGACCCGTCCGCCTGAATATGACGAACCGGTTTCCTATTTCCCGTAGGATAACGGAATTTTGTGAAATCAAGAGCAGGTGGCTCCCGCTTCTTGGATTTAGGATGAGGAGTCGCCTCTCGCCCTTGAACTGGCTTCCTCTTCAGTGAAGTGGAAGGTTTTTTGGCCGACTGCTCTTTGACTGAAGCAGGCGGCTTTTTGTTGATCAACTCTTGAATCTCTCCCTTGAAGTCCCTCATGAAGGTCATGAGTTCGTTCCTTGTGATGGGAGCAGACCCATCAGTCGGCTGTTGCCGAGCAGGCGGTGCGCCTGCTGGCTCGCTTCCTGTTTGAAGATGCTCCCGTTCCCTCCTTTCGGTATGACGGGTACGTCGGGCCCTTAGGGTCCCGTCTGGAGCTGTATGAGTTTCAACTTCAAATTCACTTTCGGTGTCATGGTCCGATTGAACTTGAGGGTCGTTTAGGGGACGCCTCTCTTCAGGAGTCGGTACAGACTTGGATGCCATCTCTGAAGTACTCTCCCCACAGACGGCGCCAAATGTTTCGGGGTTTTCTGATGTCCTGCGGGAGAGTTACAATTCCGAGACTGGAACCGGACGCCTGTACCTGCAAAATAACGGAGACTCCTGAGAGCTCCGCCTCCAACGGTCAAGTTAGTACCTGATTAAGGAGTAATTAATACGGAAATTAAAGTAATAAGATCTCTCTAGGTGAGAGTGTTTAATGTTGGTAATCTGCTTTGTTAGCGAGATTAGCCGGTTATTAGTGTTCCGTAATGTTTCTGTTCTGTTCTTCAGGTGAGATTAATTGCTTGATCAATTGCTCTCTCAATTGCTTGATGTTCTCTTGATTTCTTGATCCCCGGATTAATGAGGATTAATTAAGTATTTATAGTCTTGAGAAGCGTGGCACTCTCTAGGTTTAGGGTAAACCTAGGGCTGGCCGGGCCTCTAGACAGGATTGGGCCTTGTTGGCCGGTTTTCCCATTTGGCATGGGTGGACACGTGGCGTGCCTCGATTGGTCCGTAGAGGACGTATCTGTGATTGACACGTGGCAGGCTCCTATTGGCCTACGTGAAGGACACGTGGCGGAACCTGGTTGGTCCACTTGTCAGACGGTGATTGGTGGATAAAAATCCCCTAATCAATAATAATAATAATAATAATAATAATAATAATAATAAACATATTTTACAAAGTTAATAATAATTAAGTGTGTATATAGGAGAGAGAATATATGGTGGGGTATATGTAAATATGAGAGAGTAAATGGGAAATGATACTCATTGATGTAAATAGGAGAGACTAAATGGGGTATAATACTCATTGATGTTGGAAATATTTAAGAAAGAAGATAAGTAAAAGGATGGAGATAGTGGGAAGTGATGTGGAAGAAATAGAGTGTGATGTGTCAAGTGGAGGAAAGGAGAGAGAAACTGGGAAAGGATTGCTGCTTCCTCTTGAATGCTGGTGCTCTAATTGATGTTGAATAATGGAATATACTCCAATAAAGTGTATAAATTAATGATGATCCTAAAAAATAAGAGTAATGGTAAACACAAAATTAATTAGAGGAATGAGTATAAGGAAATTGGAATGAGAATTGGGTTTCAACAAAAAAAATAAAGCAAATTTACAAGAGATTAAGATAATAAACATTATTTGTCCCAAAAAATAAGTCAAATATATATAATTAGGAACTAGTTGTACGTATCTGGTGCATGGTTATTTTGTTTAATGTGCCAATACATTATTGGTTTTAAAATCTTTTTTCTAAAGGGAAACGGTCTATATAGCCCCCTAATAACCAATTCATTACTAAATTGTCATAGCTAGAAATCTACATATGAAATCAAAATTTAACATAACAAATACTTGTACATTAAAAAAAAAGGTCAAACATAGGTTTTCTTCATTGAAGCAACAATCATTGAATAGATCTTACAGCGTGGTACATCCCTCGACCCTCACTCACGTCGCTTCTTTGTAGCTAAGAGGATTTCAGGGTACATGCCTCCAATTATTTGTTGGCTATAGAAATATACCAATTACTAGCTTAGATAAACCTGATCTAGTGATATATACTATAATCTAACAAGTTTTAACATCTCCAACAACTCTTTTTTTAACACAAATAAAAGATATATATATATATATATATATTAAAAGGCTATAGCCTTGATATTTACATTATACATCCCATGATATATACAAGGAAAGTTGATGCAGCAGCAAAATAAGCCTATTAAAAGGGCTAAGATTTAAGTTGAAACTGAACCCCTATAGAGAACAGTATATACATCAGTAATTATCCAAAAGCTATGTACTTCCATAACTGAAATCTATAGACTGGCAGCATTCATCTGAAGATCCCAAAAGCTAGCAATAACTATATCAACATCATCATCCATATGCAAAGAGAAAGAACCTCTGTCTCTAATGAGCTGTTGCTTCTGCGACATTTGCTTTCTCTGACTCGTACAATTCAGAAACACATTCTGGAACCAGATAGTGTGTCTTGTAGCCAACAACCATCTCTCGTCCAAATACATCAAGACGATGAGACAATTCATTCCCTTCTCTTGGGATATGAGTAACCACAGCAACCTCAAACTTAGACAGAACAGCAGCAACATCACAAATAGTTGCGGCTAACTCGTGATGAGGATTGGGACCTGATGTCATTAGCATATCACGAAGGACTTTGGCATCAGTTTCAACAATCACCTTTTTGATCCCCAAATCCATTGCAATAGATAAGCCATCATTCATAGCATAGAGCTCAGTGAGAAAAGGTGAAATTGCATCATATTTGCATGAGAATCCCACATACCACGAACCATCAGACCTTCTAATTACCCCTCCTCCAGAAGAGACAGCAGAATTAAGCCAAGCACCATCCGTATTTATCTTGAAAAATCCTTCTCTAGGTGCCTTCCAATCGGAATTAGAAGAAATCTGCTCCTTACCCTTCCTGCTCTTGCACTCCTGTAACATTGAACTTGAAAATTTTATAATCAAAGAGGAATTTAGTGAATAAAGAGATCGGACCAATCTGTTTTTTTTTTTCAAAAACAGTATTATTCCTATGCAACCAGAGGTGCCACAAAGCTGTAACAAAATTCATCTTCCACTTCTTATCTAAACCAAGATTATAGTTTATCCAAATTTCCCAAGAAGAATTTTTAAAAATATCAAAATTGAAATTATTAGGAAGATAAACTTTGTTAAAAATATCATTCCACAAAATTGAGGAAGAGAAGCAATCCCTAAAGATATGAATATGAGATTCTGAGTAAATGTTACATCTAGAACATATAGGAGATATTAACGGCATATAGGTAGCCAAAGTTTCTGCCACGGGCAAAATCGAATGAGCACAATTCCATAAGAACATTCTATATTTAAAGGGAGCTTGAATTTTCCATTAACCTTTCCAAGAATTAATATTAGAAGAAGCTTGGCACTTTCCTTTCAAAAGAAAATGATAAGCTGATCTAACACTAAAAATACCATCCTTGCTTAAATCCCAAGTGATAAAGTCCTCTAAATCTGTAAATTTCGACAAAGGTGTGGCTTTGATCATGTTGATAACATGCTGAGGTAAAAGGTGAAGGATGTCATTCAAATACCAAGCTCTATCCTTGATTATATTAGACACTTTCCAATTATCCATATGAGGAGGAATATCACAAATCATCACATCTTTTAAAATTGAGGAACCTAGCCAATGATGATACCATAATGAAGTAGAACTCCCATTACCAATTCCTACCCTTAAACCCGAGGCTAATAACTCCCTGCCCTTTAGAATGTCTTTCCAAATTTGAGAATGATTAGGGCTAACATGACAATCGAAAAGACCTCCTCTCTTCAAATATTTTTCACTCAAAATCCTAACCCATAATTTGTCAGGTTTAGTAAGGATCATCCACCCTAACTTAGCCATGAAGGCCATGTTCCACAATTTTAATCTTCTAATCCCTAATCCTCCTATTTCCATAGGCTTAGTGATATGATTCCATCCTAATCTCGTGGAGTATCTAGATTTATCAACCTTATTCCAAAGAAATTTCCGACAGTTTCTTTCGATATCCTCACATACTGAAAAAGGAAGAATACTAGTTTGCATTAAATAAACAGGAAAGGAAGAAAGAACAGATTTAACCAAGGTACACCTTCCCGCCATATTTAACAAGTTGGACTGCCAACCTTTGATTTGATTAAAAGTTTTATCAAGCAAACCAAAATAATCACCTTTTTTTAACTTATTAGGATGAATTTCAACTCCTAAATACTTACCAAAGGAAGAAGTAGAAGTGAAATTAAATTCAGTGATTAAATCCTTTCTTATATTATAATTCATTTTTTTTGGGAAAATAACTGTTGATTTATTTTGATTGACCCTTAAACCAGAAATATCCCCAAAATCCTGCAAAACCTTCATAATTATTCCTATATTGCTTTTAGAAGCTTGTCCAAAAAGGAACACATCATCCGCATAAAAAATATGTGACAAGGAAATAGATTTAGTTACCTTAATCGGCTTCCAAAGTTTCTGATTCACCTTGTTTTCTATCATGGGAGAAAGTCTTTCTAGGCACAACACAAAAATATAAGATGACATTGGATCTCCTTGCCTAATACCCCGTGAGGGAGTAAATTCAGAAGTAATCTCTCCATTCCATAACACTGAGATTTGAGGAGAGGTAATGCAAAACATAATCAATTTAACAAAGTTCATAGGAAAATTAAAACCAATTAAGGTTTCTTCAATAAAATTCCACTCCAAACTGTCATAAGCCTTAGTTAGATCAAGTTTGAGAGCCATTATGTTTTTTCCTATCCTAGCTTTATGGAAAATATGAGACATCTCTTTGATTATGATAACATTATCCTCAATTCCCCTTCCATGAATAAAACTGGATTGAAGAGGACTAACCAAATTATTTAGAAAGGATCTAAGCTTAAAAGAAATTAATTTGGTTATCAACTTATAAGCTGTATTACATAACCCTATTGGTCTGAATTGAGTCAAATTAACCGGATTATCAACCTTAGGAATAAGAGAAATATAAGATTTGTTGATCTCCGGATTAAAAGAAGCATTAGAAAAACTATCAGCACATAGCTTGTATAAAATATGACTCAAAGAATCCCAGTGAGCTTGGAAAAATCTTGGTTGAACACCATCAGGCCGACATTTCATTGGCTCCATACTAAACAAACAATTTTTAACCTCAATCATACTAGGAATATAATTAGCTAACAAGCCATTATCAATAGCCGAGAGCTTATTAAAAGGCTCAAAACAACCAGACCCTCCTCTATTCCTAATTTTTGATTGAAAAATATTTTTATAAAATTCAGTAGCCATATTTTTTAAAAGAGTATCATCTGTAATCCAAATATCATTCGAGTCTTTAAGGCACAAGATTTTTCCTCTACTCTTTTTTATTTTGGCTAAGATATGGAAATATTTAGTATTTAAATCACCATTTTTACGCCAATTAATTCCAGCCTTTTGCGCCCAAATTACTCTCTCTTTATCATAAATATCTTTTAATTCCAATAATAAATCCTTTTCCAAATTCATCAAGAAAGCCGATTGTTTATTAGCTAAATAACTCTGAATACCACCTAATCTTGCCAAAAGTATATCTTTGCTATATTTTAAACATCCAAAAATATTATGATTCCAATCCTTTATCTTATTTTGAAAATTTGACATACCTAAAAAATAATCATCACAAGGCTCTAGCCAATTGCTAACAAAGAAACTATTAAAATCAGGATGTGAAAGCCAAACTTCCTTACAACGCAAAGGAAATGGACCATTAATTCTAGGGTTAGTACAATCTATCAAGATAGGTGAATGATCAGAATAGGTGAAAGGAAGATGAAAAACCTTTGTGTGAGGAAATTGATCCACCCATGCTGCCCCAAGGCACGATCAAGACGCTGCTTTATAAGAGTAGCTCCTTCTCTAGCGTTACTCCAAGTAAATGGATTACCATTATAGCCCAAATCAAAAAGTCCTGCAGCATTAGTGAAATTATTCATATCTTTACATTGAGCATGTCTAAAAATACGACCTCCAGATTTTTCATTTTGAGAAGTAACCTCATTTAAGTCACCAAATAAGAGCCACGGGGTACCTGGAGGGGGAAGATCAGATTGCATCTCCCTCCACATTTCATGCCTTTCTTTAGGCGTGGAAGGAGCATGCATGCCAGTAATTAAAGCCTCATTGTTGGTATTTTTAAAGTGAAACAAAACATGAAAAAAGGAGAAATCCTCCTTATAATCAGCAATATCAACGGTGCTTTTCCAAAGGAGCCATATACCCCCTCTCTTATCATTAGCCTCAATTGCTTTAAAATCATGAAAACCAAGTTGTAACATGATTTGCCTTGCTCTAAGATCATCAGATTTAGTTTCCAGAAAAACAAAAACAGTCGATTTGTGAATATTGACTAAGTGACGTGCATGTGGGATAAATTCATCCCTACAAGCACCCCTTACATTCCAGAGAATGAACTTCATCCTTAAATTAGGAACAGGGCGCTACAAGGTAACTCAAGGACAATCATTCGGACCCGGATTCAGGGGGAGGTAGTACACCTCCCAATCCTTCCAATGTGCCGACATTCCTATTGGAATTAGATCTTCCAATGACAAGGGGGTCTATTGAGCCACAATTTCCCTCGGACCTTGAAGAAATCGGTAAAATCGAACCTGCAATTGCATTCCCACCACCGCCTCCTGAGAGATGAACGTTGCGATAAGGTGATTTGCCATGTTTTGACCTCTGGTTTCTAATCGCAAGTGAAAAACCGGAATTCTTCTTGGAATTTGAAATGGGAACTTTCGATCTCGCTCCTCCTCTCGAAGAATCACTACTACAAAATCCGCGTTTTAGCGACGCTTTTAAAGCTTTTTTGCGGCGCTAAAAAGCGTCGAAATATTTTTTTCGACAACATCAAAAAGCGTCGCAAATCTCGACGCTTAATTGTATCCTAGTTTTTATACGAAGCGCCGAAATTTGCATTTGTTGGCGCACTTTCTCAAATTTAGCGACGCTTTTTTATGTCTAGATTTGTAAAATTGGCGACGCCTTTTTGGGTCTTGAATATAATATATTTGGTGTTTAATATGTAGGGAACACTTTTTCTTTTCCATATTCTATATAAAAAATCTAGAATATATTTAACAAAAAAAAAAAATCACTGAAAAATACTAGTATTACTAAAATAAAAAAATATATATCCAACAAAATTAGGACAAATTTTTTTATTGCATACAAATATATTATAGTATTTTTACAATATCTCATGATAGTATTGAGTTTTCTATTATAACAAATATAAATCCAACTTATAATTTTTTTTAAAGGGCGAGCAAGGATTAATAATTCAAAATAAGAGGATAAGAGGATCCATGAGTACATAAGGGGAGACTTCTAAGGGAACTTTACTCTCCCAAATTTGCTCTACATCATAAGGAAAAACTCTTGCAAGGTTATGAGCCACTTCATTTCCTTCCCTGCAAACATGAGACCAGCATACTCATTCAAAAGTAGTACCCAAGCGCATTGCATCACAAAGAACAACATCCAAATCTGTCAAATGAGTAGCTCCTTTCACCAACCTGTTAGTGACTACCCGGCAGTCTGTCTCAACGATTGCTTTGTCAATACCAAAGCATCTGCCCAGCTTTAAAGCCCACACAACAGCCTTTGCTTCAGCTATCTCAGGCTGCCACCACACTTTCAGTCTTCTACACGCTGAAAACAGGACATTGCCCAAGGAATCACGAGCTACAACCCCAGTTCCAACTCATATAGAGAAGCATTAGTATTCAATTTAATCCAGCCTGCAGGGGGAGTAACCATACCTTCGAACTGGTTTGACGAGCAGGAGCAGGGGAAGCATGGATTGCCTTGTTGTTTTTTTCATTATCCTTGCACCATCTCTGAACCCGAGTCACCAAAACTGCAATGGGGGTTGGTTTTCCTTGGAAAACTGTAATGTTTCTGTCCAACCATATGCCCCACATGAGATAGGCACCACGAATTCACATTTCATCCAAGTTGTGACTTGTAGTTTAATTTTCATCTAAATCCCCTAACCCCCAATACAGAAAATTAGCTTAAAATATTATTAAAATATAAACATTAATCAATCAAAACAATTCAGAGAAGCTTGAAATACACCACAAATTCACAATCACTTAAATTGACAAATAAATCAGATGAATATAATTTGAGCAATCCCAAATAAATCATATGAATATAATTAGAGCAATCTCAAATAAATACGAATCGAGTAAAGTATTAGTAGTAACTAGAAATACCCAAAGAGAGGTGACCAGATGTCGTTAGAGATAGAATAAAATAAGTCGATGAAATTGAAAAGTTAAACATTATCGTTGTTTAAACACTCATAAGAAAAATATAATTGACAACCAAAATATCAAATATGTAAGAAATTGTTAAAATTTTGTATTTGAAATAAAAAACATAAGCAGCTAAATAGAATAAGTAGATATGAGTCATAAAACCATGCATTATGTTATACACTATATTTCTGCAAATCAAATGCTCCCAACACTAGTAAATATAGTCAGACCCTAGCTTAATTATTACTTAAACACCTACATGTGAATATATATAAATTAACTATATAATTCTTAACTAAAAACAAAAACATTAATCCAAGATGACGAAACATCACCAATCATTATGAGAAGAAGCATTTTTCAAAACAAAATAGCAAAGACCAATTCCTATAAGACGTATGTCAAATGTTAAATTGTTCCTGACAACCAAGATGATCACAAATATCACATTTTAAATTGTTCTTTTTTGCGTTGTAAAGAAAAAGATATAATCCATAAACATATCTTAGAGTCTATATTTCATTAACAATGACAAAAGTTATTAATCTTAGTTAATCTACTCTGACACGCAATATATAGGACCTTAAACTTAAGCATCACTTATAAGTTGTCACCATGATTATTTATATATTGTATATGCTAAAACTGTATATTTAACAGGACATGTAAACAAATAATGTAAAAATTGAAATCAAGGTTGCTAAAATTAAAGTGAAGCAAAATTAATTCAGCTTTGTACCTAGTGTAAGGATCACAAAATTAAATGTGATCTGACCAGTATTTTTTAGAATGAAATCTACTACATGGGAACAATAAGAAAAATTGAAGATTCTCCTTGAGAAGCCCCTTGTCCAGCAGTGTCAGATAAATTATCAAAAGGGGGAAAAAAAGGTCAATGAAATATATTCATAGTGAGCAGGGTTTTACATAATTAAAATACATATTCTGACAAAATAATTAAAATGTGTTAAATACAAATTCTTCTATAAGATACTAATGGCTATAACACCAACCACATATGCTACACTATCCAACAAAAACAAAGATACTTGATCTATTACAAGCCATATTAAGAATAGGATGTCCATCTCCATTAATAACATCAATCACTAGATTAAAAACACAATAATGAGAAGGAAAAAGCATATGCAAATTAGAAAACAAGCAGCATACAAAATTCTAAATACTACAATAGAAAACTTGTACATACTATCCATAATATAAACCTAACAAAATGCAAAAAAGGTGGAAACTAAGAAAAGATGTCAAGCTACAAAGTAACATTCGATCCATTTAGGCATTATAAAAGAGTCACTATCACCATCTAATTCATCTTTTCCAATAAAACCATATGAATTAATACCTAATTGTGCAGAGAAAGACAACAAGTACCAATACTATTTAAGCATTTTTTCAAACAAATTAAATTATCATATTTTCCAAACAAATCAAATTATCATAAACTCACACACGAGCATCTCAACCAAAACTAGTTCAATCCGTAAGGATAATTGAGGCATAAACAGGAGTCTTACACTTTTTCACCCACTTTCTAGTCTACAGACAAAAGTTGATACATATGCAATTAAAAAAAACATTCTAAACAAATAACCCATCCCAGCATCTTTAATCACCTAGAAGCACATCTTAGTTATAAAAAAAAACCAAGAAAATAGAGAGGGTTCGATCAACAAATTATAAGGTACAAAAGACATGCGATCTACACAATTTCTGAGTTCATAGCGTAACAACCAGCCCAAAGGGTTTATTTGAGTAATAAAACAAAATCAAATGAAATTCTACAACAATTGAGATTCCCAGTTAGACCAAGACCTTCAATAAATGAAGCATAAATAAACTAATTCGCTTTTTAAATCCCCTACACCCAACACGCCATACGATCAAACCCTAGATTTAAATACAATGGCTTTCTACTACACAATAACTAAAAATTTAATGTAATTATAAAAGAACTAAGTATATCCAAATGATATTTAAGCATACAAGTAAGGAAATTGATGAGAAAAAGAACGAGATTACCATAAATTGAAGAAATTGAAAAGGGAGCAGAAGAAAATTAACACGACTTCGACCCAAATTCGCTGAATTTCAAGCTGTTTTAAAAAAATAACTTAGATTGTATAAGAATTAAGGATAGTGATGAACAATTCGATTTAGTGTATGAAGTTTTTCAGATCTGAAAGCTAAAGAAGAGAGAGAGAGGTGGGGGGAGGGGGGGTTTGCTAGGTCTCTATTATGTGTTAGGGTGTTTGGGCAGTATATGAATTTTTTTTATTTTTTAAATTCCCTGTACACCGCTTTTTTTAAAGTTGTGGGTTGCATTGAGTCACGTGAAATGCATTCTATATTTTCGACGATGTACATTGTCGAGAAATTAATTCGACACAAAAAAACGTCAAAAAAAAGCGGAAATCTATTTTTGGGTTGACGCCTCACACATAGCGTCGAGCCAATAGCGTCTAGAAAACAAGGGATTTGTAGAAGTGAATTGATAATGCCTCCTGTTTCCTCTTCAATGCATCTAACAACCTCACTGCACCGGTTATCTCCGTCGGGGATCCCGACCTCTTTTTGATCAACAATGTTTTTATCATTGGGGAAGCGGGAAACAACTGAAGGGTGTTCGAGGTCGACCTCGATCCCTGCTGCAATTCGTGAACTGGAATCCCTTGAAGAATCGGCTCCTGCCCCTGAGAGTTGGAATTGATTTCCTGATCTGAAACTCGCCGCCTCTGATAGGTTATCATTGGTAGAGCTTGGGAGAACTGTGGATGTTTTTGGTTTTGCATGGTTGGAGGTCTGATGGTTTTGATTTGTTGAAATGAAATCAGAATTAGGGACTATTAAAAGAGGGGAAGAGAGAGGATCCTCTGTGAGGGCTTTACTATAAGACTGATGAGTATTTAAAATCAAGGGTGTAGAAGGAACATCAAGTTGCATTTCTTCCAAGTGTCTAGTGGAATTTGACAGCGGCACAATCACGACACCTGTTGATTCTAAAACCTTGATTGAAGAATTATCCACTAACATTTCCTCTAAAGCCTGATTAGGCTCAGTAATCTCCTCTTGATTAGACTTGGGAGTAGAAATATTATTACTCACTTCCACACTAACCCCCTTATTATCCTCTAAAATAGGAACAAAATCCTCCTTTCTTGATTTAATAGTAGGACCTTCTGAATTAGGAGTCTGATTTATAGAACTAACTTTTTCAAAAACTTTATTCTTTTTTTTATATACATAATTATTTTTCATATTATTAAGATCTTTCTTTTGTTGCTATTATCAACAATAATTTGTTTAACAGACTTTTGATTGTTATTATCAACCTTATTATGAGCATTATTTTTTGTAACACTTCTTCTATTATTATTATCAACAGATTTGAAATGCTTTTTCTTGTTTGTCACCAAAGTCCATGGCCCAAACTCTCCATGAACATCATTTTCCGCCAGAACTTGAAATGAGTTGGATTTAGAGGGAGATCCAACCAAGCTTGTGGGCTTTGTAGCCTTTATAATATCAGGTTGCGGCCCATTAACTTCATTAGCTGAAGAATCCAACTTCATTTGCTCTTCTGATGACGCATTTTGATCAACACCTGTACCTTTGACTTCCACCTCATGCTTTTTATTCAACATGCATTGAGATTGAACATGACCAACTTTGCCACATGTAAAGCACAAAGAAGTGATGTTCTCATAGGAAATGTGTTGCCACGCGCCACCAATCCAAACCTTTGTCACCAAAGGTTTGCTTAAATCAATTTCAATACAGACCCGGGCGTATCTTCCCCTAGTCAATCTATCCGTTGCATAATCCACTCGAATTGGTGTTCCTGCTAGTTTTGCAATCTCGAATAGAGCTGATTTATCATAATACTCCACTGGCAATTCAGTGAATCTAATCCAAACATTCATCTTGTCAAAAGGATTTTCAGAAGCTCTAAAATTCGGCCTCCATTTCGCCATCATTAAATAATGGTCAAAAACGAACCAAGGTCCTCCAAACAAAGCCCTCTCATAGTCATCCTCCATAGTGAAACGGAACAGGAAAACATTATGACCAAGATCAATTACTTCCAATCCGCCCTTAATTTTCCACATAATTCGTGCTCGATTGAGCATAAAAGCCGGCCTGATTGAAGTTCCCAGACACTTTCCCATTAATGTTAAACCCCAAGGCTTCCTCAATCGATCTAAAGTATCCTTATCAAATCGGACAGTTAGACCAGAAACTGGACCTATATCTTCATCTTGAGACCACTCTGTCGATGTTGCTATAATCCTCCTAGCCTCTTCAAACCATTGGGATGAACTAGCCACCACTTCACGGAAACTAACAACTGGAGAGGGAGATTTTTGATCAAGGTCATTCATCTCTTGATCAGAACTCATAGATGGATCCGGTGGATCTGTAGAATCCACCATGCCAACTTCACAGAAAAAACAAAAAGTCTAGAGAGAAAATCTAGAGAGAGAGAAATATATATGAGTTTAACATCTCCAACATATATAACAAGAATTTTAAACAACTAAAAAAATATTATTTTACAAAATATTAAATTCTGATTTTTATTTATTTAAAGGAAAAATTGTCCCCATTAATTCTAACTTTGGCTCATTCGCCAATATCTATCCTAACTTTAGTTTATTCCCTATCACTACTACAAAATTGGCCAAAGAGACCATATCAAAATGGCCAAAGAGACTACTTTAGGAGTGGTCTCTAGCTCACAGGTCTCTTTGGCTTAAGAGACCATTTCATCAAAAGTGTCTCTTGTTTTAAAAAGAGAGACCACTTATTTAGAATAGATGGTCTCAGTTTTATGAGAAATTTGAGACCACCTATTTCAAATAAGTGGTCTCAGTTTATGAAAAATTAAGACCACCTATTTTGAATAGGTGGTCTCTTTCTTCTTTTTTTTAAAAAAAAAAAAAAATAATGATTTGTATTTCGATAGCAACTACCATTCATGCCACAAACAAGTAGAATCCGGCTTCATGATCCCCCTAGTTCTAGACAACTACCTTAGCATGCTTTATCCTAGAATCAACCAAACGTAATCTCAAACCGTGCACACGACTACCATTTAGGAAGAAAAGCATTCAAGTATACAAGTCCAATTGTTATTATGTCCAAAGCAAGAACAAAACAAAACACATTGAAAATTTGCCTTGATAAAAACAAAAATCTTTTTGGAGTTTTTCAAAATATGAGAACATGGAAAAGCATATACAAAGGTGCATGACATATATGAATCAACATTCCACCAAACATGATAGAATACCCTCCCCCAAGCTTGAATGAGACAACATGCTCAAACATAAATCAAATATTCCACGGGAGGGGAAAAACAAGGAGATTAATCCAATCAAACCAATATATGTCCAACAAGTCATCATCCACTAGAGAAAGAGGAAGGAAGGATATTACCGGATATTAGGTGGGTGTAAATACCCCAACTGACCCAATTTTAACCTTTCAAAGCTAACAACCTCTAAAATTGAATCTTGCCTTCTATATGCTAGCAAATGTGGTGCCAATCTTCCTTGATTCTCGATCCAAATAGAAGCACCGAAGTATATCAAGTCATGTACCTAGAAAAAGGAACACAAACATTTCCATGAGAGAAAATCTATTCTAAAAAGAAAAGAAAATGAAAGCAATAAAACACGGGTTACTTCCCGAGAAAGGCTTGCTCAAGGTCCAAGCTTGACCGCTCTAGAAAATAATAATTCAACGCGCGCAAGACCTTGTCAAATGCACTACTACGCATTTCATAGGAGAGAAGGTAGGAAAATGACGCGACGAGTACGTGCAACAAGGATAGTGCACGCAAATGAGGAGAGAGATGACAAGAAAAGGAAGAGGAAGAATCAAAAGAAAATTCAACAAAATATGAAGAAAAAGAAAAAGAAGGCAAACTCTCCTCAAAATATTTTTGGGTGGCAACATCACCTTTTTCCTCAATTGGGGACAAATGAGCTTCATACAAATCATCATAGACAAAAGGGTCCCCAATAAGCTCATTGACAAAAGAAGGGAGGGAAATAGGAGTGTAAGGGATATGGTTGAATCTTCTTGAAAAAGGGGTATGAGAAAAGAGAAAAGGGGCTATGGTCTCACAAATGAACTTTTTCTCACCACCATGCCTCAATTCACCAATAAGAGCATGGAAATCAATCATAGAGTCCTCAAAAGAAGAACACTCATGATATCCATCTCCCTCAAACATCCAAACTCCAAGAGGAACAACATAATCCCCTCCATCACAACTATGAACAACAACTCCCTCAACAACTTTAAAGCCCAAGGTCTCAAAACCATGCATAAATAAAATTCATTTCAAACTCATCTCTCTCCCATGAAGCATCCTCAATGAACTCATTTAAAGGCTATGGGTTTTCTTTTGACTCTCAAAGAATGCATTGGTCATAACCTCAATCGAGTCGAAATACTCATGGATAGAAGAGTCACAAACATGCAAATGAGACTCATCAAGATGGGAAAGAGGGTTAGAAATTTTAATATCAACACTCTCTTCATTCTCAACTCCTTCACCATCACTCAAATTCTCACCAATGGGATCCTCACACTCTCTTGGTTGCTCAAAATCATCATCATCATCCTCAACACACACATTAAATTGGGATTTATCACAAACAAGCATCAAGGATGACAATTGGCTTTCTAACTCTTCTCCTCTTCTCTTTTCTTCCTTAATACGCTCCTCATTCTTTTTCATTATCTCTAATTGACCTCTCAAAGAATTAAGAATCATCTCCTTACTAGGCCCAAACTCATTATCAAGCTCAATGCGCCTAATTTGAGACTCAAATGTATCAACAAGAGATTCAAAAGATATAGAAGGTTGAGGCTCAACAAGAGAAGAAGAAGTACAACCAAGATTGGAAGAATCAACATTAAGATCATGAGCATATACATCACATTGGGGAGTGGGGGTACAATTTATAACATGAGATTCATATTAAGGGAATGAAGCACATCACAAGAAGGCATGATAAATAATCAAGAATATTGAAACACACCATTAGCATCAACTTGAGCTTGCACTTCATTATCATGAACAAAAGGAGAATTGAAGTTGAAATCATGTGTTCTAGGTTCACTTAAGGGATCATGTGACAAATCATGGGAATTCATGCTAATATTAGAAGAATCAAGACATTGCATATCAATATTAGACTCATGATTACCCCTATCATAAACATCCCTAGCAAACCAAACATAAAAACCCCAAGCATCATCAATTGACAATGCTCTAAATTCACCATTATGCATACATTCAACTTCATCCCTAGTTTGCTCATTCAAACCAAAATAACAAATCTCACAAGCCTCCCAAATATTACAACAATTATTGTCCAAAAATCCCTCAAGTCTAATGAAATATTCACAAAATGCTCATTGCTATATTGAGGAAATGATAGACATGCCATTTTTTTTTCTTAAAACAAACAAAAATCAAATAAGAGTAAAAATATACACAAAGACCTAGACTCAAGCAATAAAAAACACTCAAACATAGACACCGTTCCCCGGAAACGGCGCCATTTTGACGAGGGGAAAACTAGGTCGTTATCTAATCTTCCCTCGGTCAAACTAAATTCATAAACACTTAACAAACCCTAATACGAGTATAGAGTCAAGGGTCGAACCCAAAGGAACGGTAATGTTCAAACACTTTCAATTATGCGCCTAAGTTAGGTCAAAGACGAAGGTTAGAGAGAATACTTACAACTAACAAAACAAGTATCTAAGGAAATAAAACACTAGGAACGGGGATCAACAAGTAATCATGTCAATTGCAACAACTTGGGAAGAGCATGCCAATCAAAGGTTGTGAGGACTAATGATAAGAGCAATCAATAGGAATCAAAGAGCTATCTCCTAATTGTTAAGCTAGGGTTCACTATGAATAACAAACTAAGAGAATCACAATCAAAACCAATCGATAATTGCAATTCCTAAATCAATTGTTCATGTCATTAGCAATTACAATGCAATCTAGAATAATTCTCAAGACCTAATTGAATTACACACATGCAAACCTTCACTAATCACTTTAATCTCAACAATCAATCAACAAAATTCCCAAATTAATCACAATTAATCAATCATACAAGTTTCACCCAATTCCTAGCCAAACAACTATTCAAGAATCATCATCTATCAACTAACAACTATGGAAATAAAGAATAACAAAATATCAAGAAAAATTACACTAATTAAGCATCAAACATCAAAATTAAACCAAACAAACATGAAATTAAACAAAGCAATAAGGTGAGATAGAGTTAAGAATGCTTATTGATAATAAAGAAGATCTTGAACACGATTGTCACCCTTGTATCTTCAATCTCTCAATCACCATTGAAATCCTTCACTTTCTCTCTCTAAAACTACTCCTAATCTAGCCTAATCTAGAGAGATAAGCTCTCAACCTAAGAGAGAAACTATTCTAAGACTAAGAATTATGTGAATGAATGATAATAAAACCCCCCAAAAACAATATATAAACAAAAGGAGAAAATAAATTTAAATCGTAAAAGACCCATAAGTCCGCGCCCTCGGAGAAATCGGCCGCGTCCGCGGACACCCTGGAAGCCGCGCCCGCGGGGAGTTACTGCCCAAAATCGACAGAAATAGGTTGCGGCAGATTTTCAGGGCACACTTTGGAAGGCTGTAACTCACGATCTAGGAATTGTATGAAGACGTGCGACCTATAATTGGAAAGCTCGTCAAGTCTAGTTTCTAACCCAACTTGAATCACTTCAATCCGATCTGTAGAACTCGTGATATGGACAAAACAATGAACAAAGGTCCTTTTTGATACTTTGTAAGCCTTCATTTTCCTTTGTTTTTTGGATTGACTTGACTTGCGTGCTTGGCTTCCCTAACTTGGCTCCGTTAAATTCCTTGAATGCACTTGAGCTCCCTCCTTGATGATTAAATCCCGGGAAGCTCGACACACCTACAAAACAAGTCAAACAAACAGAGAAGCGAGGGAAATAGCCGAGAAATGAATAAAATAATAAGAAAACCATTAAAAGCACGCATTTCTCTAAACTAAACACAAACACGCAAATCAAGAATTATTCCCTAAAAACATGACATAAGCGACTAAAAATGAGCATAGAAATATAAAGAAAACATAGCCTAAAGGTGCCATAAATGGCACAGATTAGTCGTTCCCTTGCTAGCTAGAGGTAATGAGATCTTATTGGCTTCCACAAGATCTTGAATGAGGTTTTGAATCTTGTAGCATTCATTTGTGGTATGAAAGTTTCCTTGATGGTACTTGCAGTAGGATCTGGGATCCCACCTTGGAGATCGCTTTTCTGGTGTTGGATCCTCTGTAGGACCAATAGGTTTGATTAGTCCTTGATCATAGAGATGATCAAAAGTAGCATCATAGGTCATTCCAATGGGTGTGAATTCTCTCTTGGGTTTAATTTTCGAGGGTGGAACCTCGTCATATTTCTTTTGATGTTCCTTTATAGCTTTGATAGTTTCACGTAGCAAATGCGACCCTTCCATCATAGACAGTATGAGCGATTATATGTCTTCTTTACTTGTCGGTTCTGGAAGGCTATCCATGGCGTCGAAGAACATCTTCTCGTC